AAGATATCATTCCTCTTTAAACCACTGGTAAAGGATTTTGAAAGGACTCATACTAGTATTTGCTGTGATTGAAGTTAAGCTTAAGTATTATTAAAGTACAATACTTCTAAGTGATTAATAAAAAAAAATTTGATGCACATATTGGATCCACAAATATATCTTAATGAAATCTATTAATACTCGCAATGTAGAAATGAGGAGGTCTATGCATTTAACAAAAGTCACAAGTGAAGAGAATAGACTCTGCCCCTGTTGGCTGAGTCCCACTTTCTCTGCCTTTCCTGACTCAGTGCCACAAATATAAGTAGCACTAAGTCACTTTTTCCCCTTCTGCCACCTCTACCTTCCTCACTTCAAAAAAACAACCAAAGACAACAAATACATCAAAACCTGAGCTCTATGAAAACATTGAAATCTAGAAAATGAGACACATATTCAGCACAACTGAAATTTTAATGTAATTTAAATCACATAAAAAGCTTATACCCACAGTAAAACACTGCATTTAAAGCAACATTCATACTTTCCCGAAAATGGAAAGTAAAGATTCTAGAAAACAACTCGGCATGGAAACCCTATTAGACTGTGGGAGGTGATCGGGCTTAAGGAGAGTTAGAGTTAAGCAGAGAATGGCACTTGTAAATTGTTGCTTTCTGGTGTTATAAACAATACAAGGCTGCTGTGGCTCTCTGTCAATCATGTGCATGGGGCCCCCCTTTTTGCAGACTCCATTAAACAACAGAGGAAAACTGAATGCTTTCAGGAGACACAAAGTTCAACTAGACAAGTAATTATGATGTGCCTCCTATGCACAGACACCACATGATCAGCAAGACACAGTCCTGGGACATTGTCCAGGGTCAAGGGGCTTGGGTGGGTCACTTTCCATCTTCCTCACAGCTCTGGGCCTGTGCATTCCCTGCTGTCTAATTGTGGCTGTCACTCTATGTTCATGTCCAAAGCACGCAATCACATCATGGAAAGTTCGCTAGAAACTCAGGTACCTCACTTGTGCCCTTTCAAACATTGCTAGTCTTCCTGTCACACACCCACAATGTGGCACTGGGGCTGGACACGTAGAAAATGAGGAATGCATTGTTTGAAAAGAACTGAAGGGCAAAGTGGAGTAAGAGGCACAGCAAAGATAGAAACGTTAAGGATCATCCTGGGGAAGCTGCCCGCTTCCAAGCTCAGTGACTTTGGTGAAGTAGATTGATGTCTCTACATCTCAATTTCCTCACGTGTAAAATTGGAAGTAAGAATCCCTACAGCAGATAGGATTGGATTCCGGTGAATACAATAGTAACAAAAGCTTTAATTATTTTTTCTGGTAACAGGAATATAGAAGGCAGGCTGGTAAGGTAGACTCCTCAAATCATTTAGGACCTGGGTATTTCCAGATGACTATTTGGCCATCTTCAGGGAGTGATCCTTGACCTCATGATGCACAACAGCTGCTGTAGCTCCAGTAATCTTATCTGAGTTCTGGGCAACAGGAAAAATGGAAAGGTACATAACCTTCCTTGTACTGTTAAGTCCCACAGTTATTCGGCTCACATGTCATTGCCCAACAATTAAATAAATGGCCATACCTAACTTCAAGGGAAGCTGGGATACATAACCTAGCTACACAACCATAGGTCCACATAAAAATTGGATTCTGTTACGAACGAAGAAGGTGTATATTGTAAGAGAACCTGGAGCCTCTATCCCCTGCCTCTCCTTCTAAGATAGAAACACTCTTAATTTTTAGGTAAGAGACTGGTGTAATAGGAACACGGAGGAAAAATATTCTAATCTACTACGTGGCAAAGTAATTTTACTTGTCAATTTGACATTTCATTAAGTATTTCAAATGACAGTATTTGAATAGATGGAATTCTACCACTCATTCTCAACCCATTACCTTCTGCTATATCAAAACATACGTTCTCCATATTACCTGAAGCCTGCTATGATTTGCACTAGAGAAAAAAGAAAAAATCCAAAGTTCAGGAGTGCTCAAGGAAAGACAATCATGAGTACTGATGAGATGAGAACAGAGACACTGCCTCAATTATATCAGCCAAAGGGTTTGCAAAACTCAGTGCTTTTGTTGTGAGACCATCAATTCCGTAAGCACAGGCCTAGTGCTGGGCCCTCAAACTGAGTGGGTGAATGAATGAATGAACGAATGATGTGTTTTTTTTTCCCATTTATTTATTTTATTGCATTTTAGGTTTTGGGGTACATGTGAAGAACATGCAAAATTGTTGCATAGGAACACACGTGGCAGTGTG